CAGCCGGGGCCAGGAAGCAGGGCCCACGGCGGAGCGAGAGGAACGCTGGACCGGTGGCCAGAACTCTGCCGTCAGGAGAGACGTGCCATGTGCAGAGACTGAGCTGGAGAGAGCAGGAACGCCGGGGAGGCCTGGCATCAGACAGCCAGAGCAAAACCGAGGGCCGGCCTGAACACCAAAGGTGGGCTGAGAACAAGTGGAGAACGTGAGTCTTTGGACATCCTGGAAGTGTTTTCCAGCACAGCGTGTCTAAAATGAGCCTCACCTTTGTCTCTCTGTGATCGCCCTTACTTCTGGTAATAACAAGCTGTACCCCGTTGCCCAGCCTTGAAATCTCCGAGTCTTGTTGGCGTCCCGTTATCTCTGCCTCTAGTCACTTACTGGGGCTCGGGAGACACCACCTCCACGTGGAAAGCCGTGGCATGCCAACCGCAGCTCTTCCATACTAGGACTGGGGTAGGGCCCCTTAACCTCTGAAAGTCACCTGTGAGCCCACAGTGCGGAGAATTAGAGGGAAGTGGCGAAACCCCTCGTGACCCCACAGCGGACTGTGGCAGTGATCGGCAGCTCAGGGGCCCGCCTCCTGCTTGGCCTCCCCACCTCTTCCGGCTTGGTCTTCTAACAACAGCACTCTGATCGTGGCTCATGCCAGCCCAGAAACCTCCATGGCATCTTCATTAACTGTTAGCATGAAGCCCCGGGCTCCTGTCCTACTCCTGAGGACTCTCCACCGTCTGGCCACAGGCTGCATTTCTTTCCTTTTTTTTTCTTTTTTTTAAGATTTATTTATTTATTTCAGAGAAAGAGAGAGGGAGAGAGAGCGATCATGAGTCGGGGGAGGGACAGAGGGCGAGGGAGACAAGCAGACGCCCCCCTGAGCTGGGAGCCCGACTCGGGGCTTGATCCGAGGACCCTGAGACCATGACCTGAGCCAAAATCAGGAGTCCCATGCTCAACCAGCTAGGCCACCTGGTTCCCCGCCCCCGCCCAGCCTGCATTTCTGTTCTCATTACCCTATACTTAGCTTTGCGAACTGTGTCCAGCTGCATTGAGCTGCTTGCTACATTCAGTACAGGTCCCTATTGCAGCAGCCCTACTTAGACTAGAATGTGCTCTTTCCCACACCGCTCTGGGTCCAAAACCTTGCCATCTTTCCAGCCCTTGTCCAAGTGCTCCCGTCTCTACTGCAGCTCCCTGGGTCCCCGGTCTCAGCCTCAGGCTTCAGTAATTCCTTTCTCTGAACTCCCATTCGTCCTTCTCTGAACTCTTGGCATGCTTACTGCTGTATGTTTTGTGTTATTTGGGCATGTGACTTATTTAACGTCGTATTCTGAGTCCTGGAGAATTCTTCCCAAGCACTTAGCACAGTGCCTATCTGTTGTTGCAGTTAGTAAATGTATTGTGATGAGTAAACCAGGCATGGGGATAATAACAACCTGATTATGAGTTGACAGACACTTTCTCCACTGAGTATTCTTAGCTCCCTTGGCAAACATTATTTGACCACATATGCATGAGCTTTTTCTGGGCTCTCAGTTCTTTTCCACTGGTCCATGTATCTGTTTTATGCCAGTGCTACACTGTTTTGATTACTGTAAATTTGTAATAAAATCTGAAATCAGAAAAAAGACAAAACAGGAAGAGTCGATGGATGCATTGGAACTAGAAGGACAGGAAAGCAGCGTCATCGTACTGGCTTAGATCCGGCAGCCAGGTCATGTTCCCAGCCATCCATGAGCTTTTATGTGGTTCCTTTGGAGGTGCGAAGAGGGAAGCGAGCTCACTTGAGTGGCCATTATATGCCAGTCACCCTTCTAGTTGTTTTACTTGATTTACTCGTTTGAACCCCAGTCAGATCACATTCTTCCCTTTCTTAATATTCTTCGTTGGCTTCTTGTTAACGCTTAGAATAAAATCTAAGCTCCGCAACACTAGCCTATGGAATCCCTAAATGTGTCCTGCATTTCCTGACAGGGCTGCACTGCCCTGCCTCCTCACTCCCCGCCTCGGCTAAGCTTTGCCGGAATCCCAGATCTGTGTCTTCCCTTTTCATCCTGAAAACTGACCCGTTACGGTAACAGTGAATATACTGTCTTTGTATGGCGCCTTACTTTTTTTTTTTTTTTTTTTTTTTTTAAAGATTTTATTTATTTATTTGACAGAGAGAGATACAGCGAGAGAAGGAACACAAGCACGGGGAGTGGGAGAGGGAGAAGCAGGCTTCCCGCCGAGCAGGAAGCCCGATGCGGGGCTCGATCCCAGGACCCTGGGATCATGACCTGAGCCGAAGGCAGATGCTTAACGACTGAGCCACCCAGGCACCCGGCGCCTTACTTTTTAAAAAACACATTCTTAGGTTGTTTCATCTGATTTTATTTCAGTCCATAATCTTTGGGCTGTCTTTTGTGAAGACTAGAGGGAATGAAATGCCAAGAAAACCGGACGGTTTGTATAAAAGCGCAACTTTGCAAAACATCACATGCCAGTTGTAGGATTAACTCCTACCTTCCTTTAAGCTTTAGATGTGTTCTGAAAATCTTTCTTCAAATACAGTTTGGCTAACCACACTCTCTTTAAAACATGCTATGAAGTTTCTTGTATCTCTGAAGAGATACAAGAAACTAGTAGTTCTTTTTTTTTTTTTTTAAAGATTTTATTTATTTATTCATGAGAGACAGAGAGAGAGAGAGAGAGGCAGAGGGAGAAGCAGGCTCCCCACTGAGCAGGGAGCCCGAAGTAGGGCTCGATCCCAGGACCATGGGATCATGACCCGAGCCGAAGGCAGACGCTTAACCATCTGAGCCACCTGGGCGCCCCAAGAAACTAGTAGTTCTAATAACCACTGTGGGGAGGGTGATTGGTGGATAGCAATAGGATGGAGACTGACTCTTCACTATATGCCCTTTGGAACCTTAAAAAAAATTTTAACCACATGCTTATAGTATTTATTTTTATTAGCTCTCTATATATGTACGTACATATATCCATACATGTATATATATATATTCGTTTTACATACCTATAATGTATGTATGTATACTCTGTGAAATTGCTATTTATTCTCATTATTATTATTTTTTTTTCAAAAAGCAATCAGACCATATGAGACAATTTGGAAAAAAAGAGGAAGAAAAATAATTATTCCAAATCCTACAATAATCCTAAAACAACCACTTCGGATTGCCATTGAAAAATGAATTCTGGGGTGCCTGAGTGGCCCAGTTGGTTGAGCGTCTGACTCTTTTTTTTTTTTTTTTTAAGATTTTATTTATTTTATTTGACAGAGCAAGATACAGCGGGAGAGAGAGCACAAGCAGGGGGAGCAGGAGAGGGAGAAGCAGACTCCCTGCTGAGCAGGGAGCCCGATGCGGGGCTCGATCCCAGGACCCCGGCATCATGACCTGAGCCGAAGGCAGACACTTAACCAACTGAGCCACCCAGGCGCCCCTGAGCATCTGACTCTTGATTTTGGCTCAGGTCGTGATCTCAGGGTGCTGAGATCAAGCACCATGCTGGGCTCCATGCTTGGCACAGAGTCTGCTCGTCCCTCTCCCTCTGCTCTTCCCCCTGCCCCACCCTGCTCTCTCTCTCTAAATAAATAAATAAATAAAACATTTTTTAAAAAAGGAAAATGAATTCTGGAGTAGATATTTTGTCGAACAAACAACCTGACTCTCCCTTGGAACCTCTTCTGTAAATAGGTATACCAAATACACATTTTATAGTAGGATATGCCTTTAGTTACTGCTCTTAGTGAAAGAATTTCCTCTACGTAATCTTCATGGTTATTCATTTTCTCCTCCCCATTTTGACAAGAGTAAAACTCACACAAAAAGGAGAAAAAACACCCCAGTCTCATCTCGAGCCTCACCTAAACTCTCCCCACACCTGCCCCTCCAGCCCCGCCACAGTTGGTACACATCGGTAGCATGCAGCAAGGGCAGTTAGGAAGAATAAAGGAAATAGAAATGCATGAGTAGAACAGCCAGAATTTCCCAATTGGTCGGATGTGGGGATAAGGAAGGTGTTAAAATAAGCCCAAAGATAATCAGGTTTCAAGTATAAACAGGAGGCTAAGAGATTTTAATTCCAAAAATTTGTGGATGCAGGTTGTTAGCTGCCTGATCTTTAGCAATATTCTTTACCCCCAGGCCTCAGTTTTCTCGTCTATAAAATGGGGATCATTTAGTGCTGAGTTCATTAGGTTATTGGACAGCTTAAGAGAGAGAGACTCCACGTAGAGCACTTAGCATAGTGCCTGAGTTTTCCACTTTTAATTATTAATGGTGATGCTTTTTTTTTTTTTAAGGTAGAGAACATAAAAAGAGGATAAAAAGAGATGGGAGATGTGAGGGAAGGTGATGCTTTTTTTTTTTTTAAGGTAGAGAACATAAAAAGAACATAAAAAGAGATGGGAGATGTGAGGGAAGGTGATTTCCGTTCAGGCAAGCTAAGTTTGAAGTACCCGAGGGATGTGTACTCTGTGGTATTCAGAAGGCAGAGCCTTGGGCCTGGGTGGAAAGGGGCTCATCTGTGCCACAACGGGAGGTTCGAACCTGGCTCAGCTGCCGTGGCTTTGCATTCATCCTCTGACTCTGTTCCCTAGCTGGTCTCAAGGCTCAGATTGTCTGACCCTGTGAAAATGTTTGATCACCTGGAAGGACTTGTGGTTGCTTATCAGAGTGCACTGGGCTAACTGGAGAGTTCCTGTGTTTTTCCCACCTTGGGCATCGGGGTTGCTGCGTATGTCGGTGTGGGTTGCTCGCTGCTCTAGGGCTTCTGCCCCGAGGTGGCCGCCACCAGACCACGAGCCCCTGGCTGCCTCCCAAGGGACCCACAGTGCTTCCGCCTTGGGAATCTTCGCCTGCTCCCTCAGGGGGGTGGCTTAATGTTGAACAGGAGGAGCCTCTGTTGAAGTTAAATTCCACATGGTCAGTTTAAGTTCCTATTATAGGGACCATATCCTGGGGGTACTTAAATTTTTTTCTTTCTTATTGCAGATCATCAACGCTGTGGTGCTGCTGATTCTGTTGAGCGCCCTGGCTGACCCAGACCAGTACCACTTTTCAAGTTCTGAGCTGGGAGGCGACTTTGAGTTCATGGATGATGCCAGTAAGTCCATCAGATAGCAGCTGTAGATCTTTGGGTATTTTTCAAGGGCAAGGAATCCTGCTACCAGGTCTTCCTGTTAAATTACAAATATTGATTCATGGGCCCATTTCAACTGATACTTCCCTTCGTTTCCATCGTTACAAATCAGATCAACAAATATTTATGGTTTGCTCGTGCTCTGCCTCTGTTCTAAATGCAGGAGTCTAAATGAGATCTCTTTTCTTTTTCCTTTTTTTTTTTTCCACCTTACATTAACTTTCCCATTTTTTATATTATTGCTTTGTCATAGTCTTTTTACCCTGGGCCTTTTGGCCTTTTTGAGAGGATGGGGAGTAAATGGCAGGAAGCAAGGTCAAAAGGATCACGCATATCTATCTCATTGTGTCTTCTTCTTCTTCTTCTTTTTTTTTTTTTTAAAGATTTTATTTATTTGAGAGAGAGAGAATGAAGGAGAGAGCATGAGGGTCAGAGGGAGAAGCAGACTCCCTACTGAGCCGGGAGCCCAATGTGGGACTCGATCCTGGGACTCCAGGATCATGACCTGAGCTGAAGGCAGTCGCTTAACCAACTGAGCCACCCAGGTGCCCCTCATTGTGTCTTCTATTATGTTTCTGTATTTACCTTTCTTATAGGAGATGATCATTCTCTGTTCCAGAAACTGTTGCTCATTATTTGGTAGACTTGGGCCTTTTTCCAATAAGTAGAAACATACACAGGAATGTGGATGTGGGATACACCAGAAGGAGGCAAGGCACCCAGCTCTAAGATCATAGACACCTGAACATTTCATAATTACAGTTGTGTGGTGTCCACACTGACTGAAAGAGTCAGTGTTGTGCATAATCCCAAACAAAAGATCATGCAAATTTAATTGTCATTGGCTTTGGAGAACTGTAAATGCATTTTTAAAAAATGTTGGGGCAAAATGAGTAAGGTGGGGAGACAGTGACTCAAGATGCAGTTTTAGGGATAGACCGGGACCATTCGGAAGACCGTGAGGCTTGTGGGTTCTATTCTCAGGGTGAGAAAATCGCTGCTCAGTGATTTTTAGTAATTCAGCGGTTATGCACTGATGTGTGTTTTATGGAGATCCCTTTCGTTGCTAAGTGGAGGATGCATTTAGGAGACTGGTGTGTGAGCATAGAAGTCTGGAGACTAGTTTGGGGGTGTTTCCCTGAGACCCAGGCTGCACTGAGGATGGGGAAGAGGGTGGGTTTCGGAGGTAGGATTGATAGACCTTGTTAGTGTGGGTGAGGAAGGAAAAGGAGGAATCAAAGATGATCCCTGCTTTCCAGCTTGAGCAAAAGACCGATCTTCAGTGGGGGGAGAGAGTCTGGGGTCAGGAGATGAACACGTGCCTGGGTGAGGGAGCTCAACTTCGCTTTAAGTGACTCAGCGCGGTTGTTAGGAGTCTAGGCTCTGAAGCAGAAGACCTTAGTTTGAATCCTGACCATGCCATGTATTAAATGTGTTCACGTGGGGCTAGTTAGTTACCTTTGTGTGCCTTCTGTTCCCCCACTGAGAGGCAGGGCTGATCATAGGATCTGCCTTGTGGGATTATCATGGTGATTAAAACAGTACATGAAAAACGCTTAGAAGGGGTCTGGCCCATAGTAAGTGCTTGGTACATTTTGCTGTTTTACTAACCGTTCTTATTTAGGTATGTTCCAGCTAAAACACAAACTGTCTTAAAGTGGAGAGATTAAAAAGGTGGTTGGGTATGTGACTCTGTAACCCAGAACCCAGATGTCTGGGCTGATGTAAATTTGAGGACATCAGCCTAGAAATGGTATTTATGTTAAGGACATAGTGAAGGGAAAAGGAAAGGGCTCCCAGATTGAGCCCTATAGGTACCCCAACAGTAGAGGTCAGAACAGGAGCCTGAGAGCAACTCGTAGTGAAGTAAACAGAAAATCAGGAGATGCTTTCTTTTCTTTTCTTTTCTTTTTTTTTTAATTAAAGATTTATTTATCAATTTTAGAGAGAGCACAGGTGGGGGGAGGGGCAGAGGGAGAGGAACAAGCAGACTCCATGCTGAGCGTGGAGCCCGACGCAGGGCTCAATCTCATGGCCCTGAGATCATGACCTGAGCCAAAACCAAGAGTTGGACGCCCAACCTACTGAGCCACCCAGGCGCCCCCAGGAGATGCTTTCTATCTGTCGCTTGCCACCACCATAGCTTTGTAATATGTACTAAGCAGTCAGGACATTATATTCTCTTGGGGTGTGGGACATTGTCAGACTGAGACGGGACTTCTGCTATAACATCGCTCCTTCTCTCGATTTTGAATAACCCTGTTACTCTTATGGATTCTTCCAGAAAGGATAATGAGTTCCATTAATATTAAATTAATATCTCTGCCTTCCTTCCCCTGAGCTAAAAGACTATGTAAGCTATAGATAAAATGTTTGATTGACATTTAAAAACAAATTATCTTTCACTGTTTCCAGTAGGGGGATTCCATTTCTAAGGTAACTGAGGTTAGAAAAAGAAGTTTTAAATAATACAGCTATAGTTCTCTCAGAATCAAATAGTAACACTATATGCCTTGATCTAATTGCCAGAGATTAAGCTGGGTAATGAGTCTCTGACAGTATCGGCTTAATTTAGCTAACTTCAAAGTCTTGCTGGTACTTAAGAGTTTAAAATAGTAATCGTTCTCTAATGTCCTGGATATTAATTCCAGTGCATTTGAGGTTTCTCTCATATCTCATATATTTGAAAGAAATGAATGAAGAGTTTGTAATTATGGTTAGGACTGTCTATCAGTCATTTAAATCACATGTTATAAAAAGGTACAGAGGAGTGGATAGTCGCTTGAGTGAGTCTTTTTTTAACTTCTTTTCGCTTACATTTCCTTTTCACATGCTTTGATCTCTTTTTTTTTTTTTTAAAGATTTTATTTATTTATTTGAGAGAGAGACAGAACACATGAGAGGGGATAGGGTCAGAGGACGAAGCAGACTCCCTGCCGAGCAGGGTGCCCGATGTGGGACTCTATCCCGGGACTCCGGGATCATGACCTGAGCCGAAGGCATTCGCTTAACCAACTGAGCCACCCAGGCGCCCTTGATCTCCTTTTTTAAAAAAGGTTTTATTTATTTATTTGAGAGAGAGAACATGAGCAGGGGGAGAGAGGCAGAGGGAGAGGGAGAAGGAGACTCCCAGCTGAGACTCCCTGGGATCATGACCTGAGCCGAAGGCAGATGCTTAACTGACTGAGCCACCCAAGTGCCCCCCCCTTTTTGTGGGGCTTGAACACACGACCCTGAAATCAAGACCTGAGCTGAGATCAAGAGTCAGATGCTTAACCCACTAAGCCACCCAGGTGCCCCTGATCTCCTTTTTTAAAACAAATTTATAGGTCAAAGTTCATTGTGTTTGACAAGCCTTTCTGTATTTAACTCACATATGGATAGAATTAAATAATCTTTGAAATGGGTACAATCAATTGCTTTAAATAGCAATTTTAAGTTGATATCTTTTTGGAATGGTGGTGGCCATCTGCAGATTTTATCCAGAAGGACAGAGCAAGAATGCATTTCACTTTTCTGTATGGTATTTTCCTAAAATGATCTGGTAGAAGAAGATGTATTATTTACATCAAAATGAGGCATATGGGAAAGAAGATAGCAGGAGGGGAAGAATGAAGGGGGGGAAATCGGAGGGGTAGACAAAACATGAGAGACGATGGACTCTGAAAAACAAACTGAGGGTTCTAGAGGGGAGGGGGGTGGGAGGAGGAGTTAGCCTGGTGATGGGTATTAAAGAGGGCACGTTCTGCATGGAGCACTGGGTGTTATGCACAAACAATGAATCATGGAACACTACATCTAAAACTAATGATGTAATGTATGGGGATTAACATAACAATAAAAAATTTAAAAAATGAGGCATATGGGAGAATCCACTGGGATAAAGAAAGAAAATATGAGGATTTCTCTTAAAAAAAAATCGAGCCCTTTAACATTTGTATTTTTATTATATTTTATATAATGGAAAAATATTATAATTTATACAAAAATATATATTTTTATGTTACACTCTCCCCCCTTCCAAATTGACTATACTAGGAAAGAATGAGGAACTGTCATAGATTGGCAGAAACTAAAGAAACACACCTAAATATAGTATGAGATCCTGGGTTGGATTCTGGAACAGAAAAAGGGCAATAGGGGGGAGACAAGTGAAATTCACACAAGTTTTGTAGTTTAATTAATAGTATTATGTAAGTGTTAATTTCCTGGTTTTGATGATAAATGATTACTATTAGGGGAAGCAGGATGAAGGGTGTACTTGAACTCTCTACTGTTCTAACTTTCCTATACGTCTAAAATTATTTCAGAATAAAAAGTTAATGAAAAAAATAGTTCAGTCTATTGACTAAGAGGACCAAAGGATAATGATTGTGAAGCGTGTATGTGTGGCATATTGTATTATACACTTGTAACTTACTTTGAGTAGAGGTAGACTTCGTGGCATTTTATTTGTGAAATTTTAATGGATTGGCAAAGAATTATGACAGGAAGTTTCAGTGCTGTGCATGGTGCCAAACAGGTCATTCGAATTAATTTCCTTTTTTTTTTAAAGATTTATTTATTTATTTGAGAGAGAGAGAATGAGAGAGAGCACATGAGAGAGGGGAGGGGCAGAGGGAGAGGGAGAAGCAGGCTTCCCACCGAGCAGGGAGCCCGATGCGAGACTCGATCCCGGGACTCCAGGATCATGACCTGAGCCGAAGGCAGTCGCTTAACCGACTGAGCCACCCAGGCGCCCCTGAAATTAATTTCTGATTAATTTTGCAGCAGATGTGTCTTTCCAGTCAAACTTAGTTTTATCTACCAAGTAGACACACTTGGCCTAAGGAAGGAAATGTACATAAAAACCATCAAGAATGGATGGTAACCATATATGACCACCTAATTTAGGATAAAGACACCACTACATTGATGGGAGAAAGGATGATCTTTTCAATAAATGGTTCTGGATGAAATCAATG